CGCCGCCCCAGCGGGCGTACACCTGGTGAACGGCTCCCGTGAACAGCTGTTCACGGTATTTGGGCCCGGTGACTGGCCGGTCACGGGTTGGTGACCGGTACCGGTCACGTTTACGGGGCAGGCAGTGTCAGGCACTGGTTAGAAGCCATGATCAGAAACATGCGACCCATCGCGGTGCGTGCCCCTCCGATCCAACAAGGGCTAGCCCAGGCGCCCGTTCTCGGAGGAGCCGCAGACAATCTGAACGTCTGTTATGCATGCCATCAACCAGGGCATCTAGCCCGTGATTGCCCCCACCGGCCCCCACAACAACGGGTGGGAGTTGCACCTATGGCCGCAACCCCTATCGCTAACGGACCGGGTCGAGTAGGAGCTTGATGGAAGAGATGGAAGGCGGGGGAAGTGCGTTAGCAACCACGGAAGAGGCTGCTGAGCTCATTCCGTTAGATCAGTATGTATCGCTTGGTTATCCTGGGCTCGGAATGATTGAAACGATTAGACCGGCGCCGGAACAGAAAGAAGTGCGGAGTGGCGACCGTCTCTAGGAGAGATGGAGTTGGGAGGACCCACCTTCGTCTCTGGGGAAATCGACGTGCTGAACATCATTGGAGCTTTGGATCATCGAATCTCAATTCCGATCGGCCATCTGCTCTCGATCTCTGAACAGGCTAATGAGCGGATGCTACAGCACTGTAAAGCGAACCGAAAACGATTCGCTCTCACCCAAGCAACGAATGTAAAAACTAAGAGCCCCACGCCAGATGAAAATACAGCTGGAATGTCGGATCCAATACGGGTAGGGTTAATACAAAAAGACGATCATTTCCTACGGATTAAACCCATCGCGTGGAAATCTGCGGAATATGACATTGAAATATGGGGAATTCCGTACAATGCAATCATTGATTCAGGAGCTGTTGTTTTGGGTATTTCACTGAGAGTAGTTGAGAGGGCAGATAGAAAGAACGATCTGATCATGCTTACTGAGAAGGATCAGCTCGTTTCAGCAGACGAAGAAAAAATTAAAACAGTGGGGAGAATGACAAATGTTGCTTTTCGACTAGGAAAGGTGCATGCGTTAGGACACGTCGTGGTATTGGATGTAAATACCTACGACGTTCTTTTCGGTCTTTCTGCCCTTGTGGCATTACGAGCGAACTTGGATTTCGCGCGACGGTCAATCATCCTCCGAAATACGGGAGGAAAGCCCAATGTTGTACCTATAAGACTGACTCTTCGTACTACCATCAACGCAGTCCCGCGAGTTTCGCCGATGATAGCGGGGACTCTTCGTATGATCACCTGGGAAGACTCCGCAGACGATGCACCATCATCGAGGGATGCGGATAGAAGTGACAAAAATGATTCGGAAATTCTGAAGCTAGCACGACATCGTATTTATTACCCGCCGCCCAGAACGATCGCAAGAACGATGCATCTAACCAGTCGGAACATCCAAAGGACCAAGGCGATGATTCTGGGTGAACCCCTCGTACAGATTTCGAGGATGGTCGATTGCTTGAAACCCCCTCAAACCCTGTACGAAGGAATCCCCCCTCTCCTCGCCCGATACAATGACAAAAAACACTATTGCGATATCACAGATCTCCCGAAGTCCCTATTGACACCTGCAAAAGAAGTACGACCGTTACACTTGGGGACGTAGGTCAGTTGCTTGGAACCCCCTGGGCGTCTCGAGGCTGAATCAGACGAACTCGGAGTAAAAATCGCAACTAAGACCGTACCATGGCAAGATATCTGCGATGGGATCACCCAGAAGGACACGTGGCCACCCGGGGGGAAGACGCCCAGATGATGGCCACGGTGTTCTCCTGGCGATCGGACCATTCGTTTATCTCTGCGCCACCACCTGATGTAGCGAAACAAGCCCGCATGAAGCAGATCGACGTACGGATCTGGGATCAGCTCTTCGAGTTACATGTTCCACAGTTTGTACCTGATGAAATTCACTGGTTGATTGCGGACATTCTGACGAAATATCAAGGAGCAATTAGTGTAACGGATACTGACATCGGTTTGTCTTTGGTCATTCAACACGAAATCCAGATGGGAAATTATTCCCCAATCCACTGCAAACCTTCCGATATTCCCTTATAGAATGGAAAAAAGTTCTTGAACGAATGCCGGAATTCGAAGTAAGCGGGTGGATTGAACCCGCCACCGGACCATGGTCATTTCCAGTAGTGTTAGTACCGAAGAAGAACGGATCGATCCGCATATGCATCGATTATCGCAAACTGAATGAAATCACGATCAAAGATGTGTATCCCCTCCCCCGAATTGATGATTTGCTGGATGCGCTTGAATGTGCTAATTATTTTAGTAAGTTTGGTATTTAGCATGGCTTCCATCACATTCTGGTTAAGGAGGAAGAGCGGCCAAAGATGGCCTTCGTGTTATTTGAGGGCACGTGGCAGTGGGTTCGGTGTCTGATGGGGATTTGCAACGCGCCTGACACGTTTCAGCGAGCGATGAACATGACGTTCCAAAACTTCGTCAACAAGACACGGCTAACTCAAGGAATGATCAACTTCTGCGTGATCGTATACATGGACGATATCCTTGTCTACTCGGAAACCTATCACGGACATGCACAACACATTGAGTGGACGGTGGCAGCGCTGAGAGACGCTGGATTCAAGCTCACACTCGAAAAAAGCGAATTTTTCCTCTTGGAAATTTCGTTCCTGCGTTACGTCATGACACGTGGAGGATTGCGGCCTGACTCGAGAAAGGTCGCGGCGGTGAGAGAAGCTCCAGTTCCCACGTCGCTGACACAGGTTCTAGCCTTCTTGGGATTGGTATCGTACTATCGCCATTTCATCAGAGGCTTCGCCGCGATTGCACAACCACTAACGAACCTATTACGAAAGGACCAGCCTCTCAGTTGGGATGCGGAGTGTGAGCAGGCCTTTGCGACCCTCAAGGATGCTCTGGCGATGACACCTATTTTGATCCAACCGGAACCCTCGAAACAGTTCATTCTTATCACTGACTGGCAACCGGAAGCTATTTCCGCTATTTTTGCGCAGAAGGGGAACGATGGTCGCGAACACGTCATCGAGTACGCGTCGCGAACGGTGCCAGACGAACAGAGGAACGACTCAGCACCCCAAGGCGAATGCTATGTAGTAGTCTGGGGAATCCAACACTTCATCCGTATCTTTACGGACAGAAGTTCCGCCTTGTGACGGATCATGAGCCTTTGCTGGCTTTGAAGAAGCTCACTAATTACATGGGCATGATTGGACGCTGGGCGGTACGACTACAGAAATACGACTTCGACATCATCCATCGAAAGACGGAAAGACACGGCAACGCGGACGGACTGACTTGTCTGCATCGACCCGCTAAAGTTCCTGAGGGCGAGGAAGTCATTCCGTGGAAAGAACTGGAGTCGGTGAACGGGCCTAAGTACGGACAAGTGGCAGTTCTCCCACGTGGCAAGAAGCAAACTGGTGGCAATGGGTGACAGAGGTTATTCCGTAACCCCTCTTTCTCCCCTCTCCTCTTCATCTCTTCTCTCCCTCCCTGATAAATTTTGTTATTTTTGCGAAGCAATTTCTCGCATATATTCAATCTCCATGCGTCCTGACGGGGAACGCTATGTGGAATGGGTAGATTGTCGACAGTGTGTCACACAAGCCCATGGCTCGTGCATCCAATATCGAAATGATAGTAAGCCGTGGCTATGACCCTTGTGTCGGGTTGACAAAATCCCGACCGAGGCTCGCTTTTTGGAAGCCACGTCAGAAGGATGCGAGAAGACCCGGAAGTTTAGAAGGGCCGAATTATGGACCGACATCGCTCTGATTGCTACCTTCGTGGGTAACCCCCTCCAGGATTTCACCAAGGAAGATCGGAGGAGGGCTAATGAAAGGGCTCGGGATTATCGGTGGGTCGAGGGTAGGTTAGAAAAACGGAAAACGGACGGCAGTGGGATTTGGATGATTGTACCACACCCGTTCATGAGGTACGACTGGGTGAAGACAGCACACGAGAAATGACTGCTCATTTTGCCGTACGGATTACGGAGCCAGCCATCGACAAGAACGAATGGTATTGGTCCAATATTCAGGACGATGTGAAATTCATCGTCGCAAACTGTCAAGTCTGCGCTGCTGACAAGGCGTCCATCCAGCCGCCAAGATCGATAGTCCTGACGGTGGTTGAGCGGCCTTTTCAAAGGGTTAGCATGGATACTACCGATATATTGGTACCCCCTGGTCCTAATAGCTGTGAATATTCAGTTCTGTTCGTATTTGTCGACCATTTTTCGAAATGGATTGAGGCCTATCCATGCCGCACGCGACAAGCCGTCGAAATCGTGCGGTATGTTAACCGTTTTCTCAGGATGCACCATGATACGGACGAAATCTTGACCGATAACGGGGCAGAATTCAGATGGGAAGTGTTAAGGAACCTGGTCATACACGGTGTCGCTATGCGGAATACCGCACCCCATATGTCACAATCCAATGGGCTAGTAGAAAACACAAATAGGGTGATAAAGACAGCGCTGCGACGAAATATCGCGGCACGGGATCCGAGGCCCTGGCCCGATATCGTCGACCACATCCTAGCGGTCCATCGCGGAACGCCCCATGAATCGACGGGCCTGAGCCCCTTCCAATTAAGGACCAATAGCGTCGCTTGCGTTTCGATACCAAGCCTCCTTGACGAATCAACGCTTAACTGCCGGCCCACAAGGGCCACGGCACGGGACAAGGCCAAGCGACACTTAGAGTTTATGGAACGGTCCCTCCCCAGGCTAGCCTGAAAACGCCAGAAAATGACCGAGTTGACCCACGACCGACAGGTCCGAAGATATGAGGCCCGGAACAGGAACGCAGGACCACGGCCCCAGTACAAATTAGGGGACATCGTGCAGGTAGGGAAATGTGCTCGTCAGGGTAAGTTAGCGCCACGATTCTTCGGGCGATTCCGCGTGATTGAGCTCGGACCGAACGGCGTGAACACCGTACGGCTTGCGCCTGAGGTCTCCGGCAGTCGATCGGCTCGACCGATCATCCGCCACGTGTTCTTCTTCGTCGTCTTTACCTTCACCTGACTCCTCCTCCGCCGCGGAAGAGGACGACGACTGCTTATCGCCTGTCTATCCTTCTTCATCTTGTCCTTTCTCAGATACCCTGTCCCCGCCACCATCGCCATGAGCTTTTTCACGGAGCGAGCCCTCGACGGCCATCTCTTAACGCCACGAGGTTACATCTCGGCGATTCGGCAGGTGTGCCATCCACGGCTCAATCAAGATCTTCTACGGCTAGCGCGGTTCTTCTGCACTTCGGGGGTGTATGCAGTGACGAAGTTCCGATTCGCAGGCAGTCCGCAGACAGTGATATTGGAAGAGGCGGTAGCAGTTCATCGGCGATCAGCTCCAGGAATCAGCCATGTGTCTACGGTCATCGGTTTCAGCGGTGACATCAGCACCGTCAATGCGCTCCGACATACAACCATCCGGACCCAACTGAGAAAGTGGGCGCAACAACTGGCCGGGGAGTGGAACCACTCTCTTACGTGCCCCGGGGAGAATCTTTTCCCCACGGATGGCGTCGAGCTCGGACGGATCCGGGCATTCCAGCACGAGCCAGCGGTGGTGCTGCCAGAACTCATCCCCTTCCAGCCTCCCCGATGAACCACGCCCAACTCTCCACTTTCGCCTTCCCATCTCTTTTTCCTACTTTTTGGCAATCTAGTCTCCACCCCCGTCTCTCCTTTCTCCTACAGCCGCTCACAGTCCCTCTTCTCGATCCTGGACAGTGGAGACTCTGGCGCGAGCACTTCGTCGAGTTGTCGGTGTGCCTGGTCAGGGTACGAATCACGTGGGCAAGGGACGAAGACCATCGCGAGTGGAGCGAGTACTTGGAGTGGTTGATTATCCACGTCTGGAGAACGAACGTGGAGGGCGATCTTCTTGGATTCCTGTTCGGATCGGTGCAGCCCAGCCATCGCCAGCCAATCGTACAAGAGCTCATAGTCCCACTCGCGCAACTAGCAGACGATCTTCCCCTGGAGATCGTCTCACAAAGTGACGAGAACCCGGTCCCGCACGTTCTCACGCAAACCTTGGCGCCATATCTTCAGTGGTCCATGTGCCTGGAGGATGCGGGAAACGACCGCAACCCACCATCGCAGCGGGATTATCTGAGCCCACGAGAGATCATCGACCCCGCTTACTTCCGGGATCGAACGACCACTGAGGACGAGGCGATAGCGGCAGAAGAAGAAGCAGCAGCAGCAGCAGAAGAAGAAGAAGAAGAAGAAGAGGAGGTTGACGAGGAAGAAACTCCCGAAGAGGGGAGTTACAGTGAGCACAGCGAAGGGGAGCAAAGTGAGGAGGAGGAGGAGGAGGAAGAACAAGACGACGAGGAGGAAGAACAAGACGACGAGGAGGAAGTAGAACAAGGTGACGCAGAAGAAGAAGAAGATCAGGTGGAGCTAGAAGAGTCGGAGTGGGAAGGATTCGAGGAGGAAGTGCATGACAAGGCTCGGGCGCAGGCCCAAGCACAGAAGAGGGAAGAGATCGCGGCCGGGAAGCAACAGTTGGAATTCCCCAGCGTAGCTGGTCAGCCGTGCACCGACGATCCGGCCCGAGATCCGGAGCCACCTAAGCCCAAGGATGGAGACCCAGCTGCCGAGACTTCGGCCGCACTGGCAAGACGGCGACGAAGCCTATCCCCCTCCCCCTCCACCACCGACCGTCCACCAGTTCGAGTCCGTACAGATGGGGGGCATCGGGCTTCGTCCCCGGTCGTTATCCCGCCGTCCCCTTGACCATCTCACCCTCCGCCAGGCTACTACCCGCGCTGTCTTCCCCTGCAATCCCTTTCCCTTCGAAACTTTCTGCTTCTTCTTTGCCACCCGTCTCATCGTCACAATCCACCCCCACCCCTCGACCCGATGCGCCGATGCGCCCTCTCCGACCCGACTTCTACCTCCACATCCTTCTTTTGAGTGCTGCGTGGTGAGGCCACAATACGATCGAGGTTTATTGCATGATCACGGGGACTATCCCTGCGTGTGAAAACCACGATCATTTTCGCGCAACCCTCTTTTGCACCTTCGCCACCCTGTACCCACACTACCTCGGTTCTCTCCCCCATATTGGTAATCGTTTCCCCCGTTTCCACCGGATCGTTCGATATCAAGAACTTCCGGAAACAGTGGTGAGATTGGATAGTTTCCTGCCCCCTCTCCCAATTAACCCCCCTGCTCGCCATGCTCCCATGTATCGTCTTCCCTTCCCTCTCCCCGCTGGACACTGGTGATCGGTCTATTGGTATGCATGCCGCTGCAATGACGCGTGTAATCCCCTCCTTGGATTGTCAATAGCGCTTCCTGAGGAATTAGTAGTTAGAGCTGTGTTTGCCACACTTGACAACGTCCATACTCATTCAAACGGTAAGTGGCACAAAAGGAAAAGCTCCACGTGTCGATCGATTAGAGAGACCGACACGTGTCAAACAACCAAGCAGGAGCTTGCTAATATTGGAACCCCCTGGGCGTCACATATGTGACGAACCAAGTTCTGCGGCGCGCGATTTTCTGCGCGAAGGCAATGAGGGGTCCTAAGCTGGGAAGGTTGGGCCAATTACAAGAGATCGGGATTGGAAGGAAATTGCATCAGTGTCCTCGCTTCTTCGTCTTTTAGGCCCGGACATCGCGCGATAATTTTGCTTCGTTCTTTTTGAAATTTCCTTTTCGAATTCTTTTTCGAATTTTGTCAAGCCTCGATGGCTCTCGGAATTTCGGATTTTCTTTCCGGAACTTGTGCTTTTTGCTTTTTCGCATTAGATAGGAATTTTGTAATTAGGATTTTTTTTGGCCGCGCGACGCCTTTTTGCTTACGCGCTTCTTTATGCGACTGCAACGGAATTCTGATTAGTCGGCGCCTTTAATCGGGTGTGTAACTGTAATTTTGGATTGGCGCCATTGTAACTATATCTTTCTTCTTGTGCTTCGTCTTTTCCGCCCCTCTTCTCTTTCTTTTGCTGCGTTTTTGGTAGCCCCGGCCTGCATGATCGGATCGATGCGTGGAGAGCGGCTATGTCCCCCACGCCGCGTTCTGAACATGCAGATGTAGGTAATCCCTCCCCTTCTCTCCTTCTAAGTCTTGGTAATTCCGTGTTCCTCGCGCATGCATGCATGCTATAAATTTCGGCTGCGCGATTAGTTAGCCCTCTTAACCAGCTGTTGGAAGCTCGGGGTTGCGCGATCAGAGAGGGTCGACACACGAGCGAAGTAAGAGGTGAGTAGAGCAGGAGTCGGGCGACCTGACGAGCTGGTGCCAAATGTGCGGGGTTGACGCGGGCCACGACGGACTGTGGGCGGGGGCGAACCTGACGGGTGCGGGAGGACTAAGCGGGGTGACGACTTCGTGGGTTGGTGTGCGACGACGGACTGTCCGCATCGGAGAGAGAGAGAGAAAGAGGAGAGGGAGCTGAGGTTGATGGACGCGGAGTTGCTGTTTCTTTTATCTTTTCTCCCTCCTATCTCGTGTATATAAATTTTAATTTCGGCTCTGGGTGATTTGCCCGTTTCTGTTTTTCGAAATTTGGACTTGGGTTTTTTTTTGCTCACACTTGTCTTTGCGATTTCCATCTCAGATGCACTGTGTGTGTGTGTTGGTGAATGAATGGATGTATGGATGCCATGCTTGGTTGCTTGTCTTTCTACCGGATCCTTGCCTTTGCCTTTGTTACTGCCTTTGATGCACTCATGAGCAGGATAGGAATTTTGTGCAGTCGGTAATCCTGCTCTCGTTTTTGCTTTTGATTGGGCTGTTGTGGTTATTGCATCTTGCATGCGCAAATATTACGGAGTGATTACACAATCAAATGTCTGGCCCAGCGGACGCTCGAGGACGCGTGTAAACGCGACCTGAGTTGCGCATTTACACGTACCCCCGTGCGTCGATTCGTCAATCCCAAAAAGGACCATCGATTGCAGAAGTACTGTCTGATTGGATACGGCCATCCGGGGTCCGCGACGGAGCAGTCATCCCGTACGAACACGCGTAAGCGCGACTTGATTCGCGTGGCCTGCACGTGCTCGCATATGGTGATCGCAATCGACACAGACCCGCCCTTGGGCATCTCACAGATTTGCAATGACATAATGACACACTCAGAGAGCTCGGAGTCGTTGTTGTACGACCCAGACTATTTCACCCCATGGATAGTGGAAAGCCTCCGACAGAGGTATCCTTGCCTAACCGAGAATCGACTGTGTCCCAGGGAGTTTCACTGCGCCACCACCAGCGAACCCCGGTGCTCTGATTTCCCCACTCAGGACCACACCCACTACTTCACCCACCCTGGCTTTGTCGTTATCTCCACCAGTTTCCCTCCCTTCCATCTTCTTCTTCCGTATCACCAACTCAGCGTCGTCCCGTGGAAGGCCATAGCCCCATACTRGCCCAGCACGCCTTGCGGAAATTGCCGACGACGCAGAGACGAGAGGGCCCCCGAATCTCGAAGGCCCAATCCGAGCGCGCGACGTCTGAAGCCATGTGGCAACTTCCGATGGCTAGGCTCATGGGAACCCCACCCAACCGGAAGAGACCTTTTGGCGAACAGCCGTCCTCGGTACCAATGGCTCACCCGGCCTTGAATGACTGGCGCATATCACTATGACCAGGGGTGGTCCTCTCTCTCTGCCAAATTGCACTCGTGCCCCCGAAAAACTCTGCCACAGGAGATCTCAGCTCTGACCTGAGACTCCACCCCCACTTTCCCAAAAATCCTTGGCACACCCCTTTTCAGACTTCCAGGCCCACATCCTACTCCGATCAGGAAGTCGCGCTGGGCGTGAGGTTGGGCATCACAAGCAGAGGGGTTAGAGCCTTTTCTCCTTTGTTAGGACTCGTTAGTGTGTCATAGCCTCGATTAACTTTAGTCAACGACTATCCATAACTCATTGCTGCCTCAATCGATCAAACATTAACACACGGGGTACTAAATAGGTTACTGAGAGAATACCCGCAAGTTTTCGCACATCGACTCCAAAACAAAACGTTGTGCCTGACATTCACATCTCGGACCTGCCACCGCAGGTACGAGCCTTTATTAAGCTTCTCTTCTCGCCGGGCGATTGGTTGCCGTCATAGTCAAAACCACGAGTCACCATTTAGAGAATTGATGGAAGAATGTTTGTGTAATACAGAGTTATAGGGAATCGACGAGGGGCCATGTTCCGAACGCAAAGGCGTTCCTATCCCACTCAAGGAATAGATGAGCATAGCCACCCGTCGACATAGCTCAGCTATGTCGGCTACTAGTCGCGCAACGTTTCTTTCCCGAACGCGTCTCATGGACGTGAAACGCACTCCTTCCCTGTAAGCGCCGGCCGGCTCTGGCGCGAAAAGACAGCGCTACGCCGCATGCGGAATAGCGCTATCCTAGCGCTGCCAGAGCGCTACTGGAACCGCTTGCAGGTTTCCCCACCGATCGGTTTTGTGCTTTTGTCTTCGATTCCATAGGGCATATGGTGCGTTGGTTTCGTGCTTTTTTTTTTTTTTTGAAAAGCTATGTTCGTCTCTCAATTTTACCTCACAATCCAGCGGCCTAGCAGAGTTGGTTAGGCATGCAAGTGGCATTCAAGAGGTTGTGGGTTCAAGCCCCGTGGCCGCCTGCGGCGCACTTAGTGCCAACGGACTGTGATAGTCCTCTGGATACCCTGATCGGTATTAGCGGGGTCTATGACCAACACGGGTGTGAGTGTGAGTGAGCTCGAGTGGGTTGTGTGTGGTGTGTGGGAGAGTGTTGGCCATAGCCTCTGCTGCTACTCGATGAGGGGTGGGGGACGATGAGAAAGGGAGGCGCAGCTACTGGCAAAATGCTCGGTCTTTGGACCCCCACCCCCGGCCCCACCCCATCTCTGACTACCGCTGTTGGGGCGGGGGGCAACATGAATGACCTCGTTTGCGAGGCCCTATGCTTGCAGGGGTCCCCTCTCTATAGTCTTAGGAGTAGTGGTAGGAGGGTAGTGAAAGGCGAAAAAAAAAAAAAAATTACCTCACACTACCTACCTACCACTACTCCTAATTGTAGGCTAGGCATACGGGGAAAACCTTGGCCGGGAGTGCCTTGCCCAGCCCAACACACCATGGCATAAATGTAAGGGATGCCGGACCCGGTTTCCGGCAGAATGGGATGGTTTCTTAAAAAAAAAAAGAAAAAAAAAAAAAGAAAAAAAAAAAAGAAAGAAAACCCTGTGTTGATTTGGATTACCATGGTCCGGGCTGAGGGCTCTGCTTGCCTGGACTCCGGAGTGCCTTGCTCAGCTCGAGAACTGCGGCACCTTTATGAGGGACGCTGGGCCCGGCCGGTTCCCAGTATATAATGAAACTTGTTTTGGAGAAAAAATTAAAAAGAAATTTAAAAAAAAAACAACAACAAGGACAGCCGGGTTGTCCCACCCCACCGGGATCTCGGAGCCTCCTCTAGCTAATCTATGTACAGTATGGGGGAATGTGTGAGGATTGAGCCCTCAAGCAGGGGCCTTACCATGATGTACATGTTCTGGGCTAAGGCCCCAGCAAGCCTAGTGCCTGCCCTAAGTGAAGGCGGGCCAGCAAATCAACAAGAGCCCTCTGTGCAAACATTTCCTGAAGTGGGGTCCATACAGTTGCAGCACGCCAGTTGGTTGGAGTGCACCGAGTCTCGAATCTCTGCAAATGTGGAGAACCCAGGGCCTCTGAGTTAGTTAGGCCCTGGGCACCTGAACGTGAGGCCGACAATGTACGCTGGGTATAGAGGCCGAAAATGSCAAAGGGGAATCGGCCCACTATCTGAATCTGGCCGCAGGCCTTGACGAAAGAGGTGCAACTGCATCA